GTGTGTATGTGTGTGTGTGTGTGTGTGTTTGTGTATGTGTGTATGTGTGTGTGTGTGTGTGTGTGTGTGTATGTGTGTGCTTGCGTTCTTGTATATATGTGGGTGTGGTGAAACACCAAACCAGTGAGCAGACAATAAAGATGTTTCTCATGTTATCTTACCTTATATTATCTACTTTTATTTTCGCATCGTCGACACCTGAACAGACAAAAACGTCCAGTTGTGTGTTAATGCTACTCCCGCACCCAGGTAAAACACCTAGCCATTTGTTTTGCCCGAGTTGGGTCGCTGAGTCGGTTTTCCACCAACCTTTTTGCACCAAGACGATGTCATCCCTGATTACTATCCAGTGCACCCACCCATAGACATGAATTATGAATATTAATATCCTAGACCGTTATCTGTCATGCGTGTTCCTCATTGCTCTTCATCAACCTTCGCTTCGAATCTTACACACCGTGGGCTCCCAATTGTATGGAAGAACACCATACTGGCTACTGTTGAATGTATGAAGCTCTTTCCCCCAGCTTGTCCTTTATTTCACTCCAAACTGAGCGAAATGATGAGACTATTAAGTGAATCGGAATTACACCGTAGGGCACGGTGTAGGATATTATACAATATATAATACAAACCTATGAGTTCAGATCTGCTCAATACATCAACATGGATATGGCAGGAGTTGATTAGGTTTGTCCCTGATAGTTTCTATTAGAAAAGGGAAACAAGCAAACAAACGAAGACAAAAAAAAAAAAACAACAGTAAAAAAACCCAACACACACAAAAAAAGCATGACAACAAAAAACAAAAACACCCATCCCCCTAAAAGAAACCCCAAACAAACAACAAGCAACAACAACGGAAAAATAATTTTTGGATTCATGCCACTATTACTCAGAAATTGTTCAAAGGGCAATGCTTCAGCCTATCTTTCTCCTTTGGATCATATCAAAGAAGTCAAGATCTGAAGGAAGCGAAGGGAAGTAACAACTTTTGAAATCTCTACCTCTATGTCTACCACCCAGGAAAAGCTACATCATGTATTTATGCGTATGTTTAAAGATCGCCTGTCAACGCGCAAAAGGCCATACCTTCAGTCTGATCTATGAATCTAAAAAGAGATTTCAATGACATCAGAAGCAACATCTGACAGGCCCACACATTTCCACCACCTGTGCCTGTGGGTTTGTTCTACATGTATGTGGGTGTAGCAGGTGGGCAATATGCGTGTGGGAACAACAGGACAAGATTATTGAGGCCATACCATTGGGTGGTTGCCGGGTGCTCTGGCGTGGTTTGTTTCTTCTTTCCAAGCAGACATCTATTGTCATTATCTCCCCTCCTTCTTTTTTGTGTTTGTTACTCTTTTGTCATTATCTCCCCTCCTTCTTTTTTGTGTTTGTTACTCTTTTGTAAAGCCGCTAATCTTCGGCACTTATATATGACCTTATTGTGTTGCAAGTGCCGTAAAACACTTACTGAAACAGGTGCGTCTCAATGTGGTAGGTACATCTCTTTCCTTTCTGGCTCGATCAAATCACTTACCTTGAAAAACATGTTGGTGTTTTTACGCTCCCATCGACACAATTTACACCACTTAGGAGGTGAGCGTCTGACTCTACCAGTCACGGCCAACCCGTGCTGAGAGGGATGCGACACCCCAGCAGAAGGTCTATTTTCTCGATAAAAACTCTCCGAATTCGGGAATCGAACTCGGCACTTCTGCTTGTGACGGCGAAGTGCCTAACTGCTCCACCACAGACGCCGGTAATCCAGTCTTGAGTAGTGGTGGGCAAAATCCGGATAACCGAATTCATACTATTAAACTCTCTTTCCTGACCCGTTTGCCGAAGTGGGTACACCCATATTATTTTGTAGTGGTTCTTCTAACCCATTTGCTGAAGCGGTTCATGACACATTTAATAGCTGAAGACGTGCACTAACATTATCTGGATTTTGCTAAAGCGACTCATTGCCCAGCCCTAATCTTGAGATACGAAGCTGTTCTTCCGGGCCTGGCCTGTGTCCCAGCCCAATTTTTCACGACAAAATTAATAATGTTGTTTTAGCCTCCAAATATATATGTAGAAGGAGGGTGCGGCAGGCTTCTCTTATTATCATAGTCCACAACTCACTCACAACCCCACTGGCCACTGTTTTGACTTTACAGAATGTTATTCCACTCTTGAGTGATGGTTTGTTGTTCTTATCGAGTAAGGGTCTGAACTCTGAACCTGATTGGGGCTGGCATTTACAGCGCGATCTAAAATCTTCCATAAGTGCTCAACTGGATTCAGATATGATGAATGCGCTGAACATGAATTCAGGAGAGGTATGTTGTCACGTTATTCCTCTCTGCATCTGTGGTGCAGCAGTTAGGCGCTTCGCTGTCGACTGCACAAGATCTGAATACGATTTACGTGACGGGGAAGGATTTTTTAAATCAAATATCTCAGTTTTTCGGTTGAGTCTCTCAGCCTGGGTTGGTCCAGAGAAGTAGGGTCGAATTCTGCTTGCTCAAGGACCTAAATATTTTTAAAGTGTGTGTGTGTGTGTGTGTGTGTGTGTGTGTGTGTGTGTGTGTGTGTGTGTGTGTGTGTGTGTGTGTGTGGGTGTGTGATAAAACCTTCATAAAAAAAAAGAAGGTAAAGTCAAAACGGCAACGCGTGTCTTCTGTGTGGGCTGACATTTACTTCGAGACGGTGACGTGTCTACCAGGGCTACACTACAGACGATGGTTTGCCGTGTTGAGAATTAATGGACTAGCATTTCGGTAATCTTCTAACATTCAGGGTTTTATTTTTCCAAACCAGTACTTTGCAGCTAACAAACAACCCTATTGTTTCACTCGTTCCAGAAACACGTTTGACCTTCCTGACCTTTCTGCCACCGCTGGAGCCCATAACTTGGACGGTTTGGTAACCCAGGTGACAGACGACTTTGGTTGTCTGAAATACAAAATGGCGGCGTGCTTTTACATTTTCCTGAGCTCAGCGGGACAGTGATTACGTGACCAAACAGCGAGAGAGCGCCAGGCAGTAGACAGGTAAGTCTTTCATTTTGTAATATTTTCAACTTGTCCGTTGCAATTACGGTCGAACCTGCTCTAACGGCCACCTGTCCAAGGCAATCACCGGTACAAAAGACCACTCTCCGCACCCCCCCCCCTTTTTTTCCCCCCTGTGTTGGATAATTTTGTCTGCTTTTAAAAGCAGATGAAAACTGTAACGCAAAAACTATTTTAGAAAATCCACAAACCTTTCGTCGATAATAATTGCTTAGTAGTTTTTTTTTGTTTTGGAACATCTAATTGGATAAATTTTTCTTTGACTGCTCTCTGCTTTCAGACTGAGTTTTTTGCATGGTATTTCATCTGGAAACCACATCTGTGCTCCACCGAGATTACCTTAAAAAACTGAGAAATGATTAGGGAAAAGTCACCCAAAAAAGAACCTGTGCTCAAAATCGGGAAAAGCGGACAAAAAATAAATCGCACAACATGTTAACAACCAAAAAACCCAACAACATCAGAAAAAACCCCCCAGAAGCAAACGAACAATCTTGCATTTATGATTTTAAAAAGGAAAAACAAAAAATGCTTTGTGGGGACAAGAAAGACGTCAATGGCACAAAACCCAGCTTCTTTTGCCGCGTCAGCTTATTTTTCTTCTTCTAAAACTAATGTGTTTATTACGACCCCGATCGACCCACGTTAGGAGGCTGTGTAGCGTTGTAGGCGCTTCGCAGTTGCTCGCAGGAGACCCAAGTTCGATTCCTGAGTAAGTAGATTTTCCACAGAGCACCTCGGTATTCCTGCTGGGAGGTCGTCGTTTCCCTCTCAGCTCAGCTCTTGTTAGCTCTGACAAGCAGGGCTGACGCGGGCCTTCTTTAAACGATCTAAATTGCTTCGATTGGGGTGTAAAAACACACGCATTACCCCCCTCCCAACCAAACCCCCCCCACAAAACAAAATAAACAAACAAACAACAAACAAACAACAAAACAACAACAAACAACATTCCCCCCAACCC